CGCTCACCTGTACAGGTCGAAGCCCGCGGCGAGCGCGGACCCCCGCGTCGGGGCCGTGGCGTGCTCCGACAGCCGCATGAAGCGCAGTCGCTGGGGCGCCTCGGAGGGCCGGGCCCGCTTGCTGGGGGACACGGCGGCGATGTCTTCGGAGCAGGGCATGGCGGCGGAAGGGCCGCGGGAGGGCCGCGGGAGGGTCGCGGGAGCTGGGGGAAGAGGAGAGCCGAGGTAAGCTCCCGCGCGCTCTTAATTTTCCCGGTTTCCCGCTCCCCGCGCGGACGAGCCCACCGCCCCGGCTGAGAGGGGAGGCGACATCCAACTTTGGGGCCGGAGGCTCATCTCGGGAAGTGAGTCTCAGGCGTGGGGGGGCTACTGTCCACAGCCCTCATAAACATGTATTCCAAATTCAAACCCCGGTCCGAACCGGCCCGAAGCAGGGGGCCAGCTCCAGCGGGATCGCCCCCAAAGACAGACGGTTAACTCCCATCCATCAGCGTCCCAAATGGACTCGCCTCGGCCTAACGGACCGCACCGCCCACTTCCGGTTCCACTCCGCATCCGGTTCCGCCCCTGGACTTCCCCGCGCGCCCACCACGTCCGCGACCCTTTTTCACCGGCTCCGCTGCAGCCTCGACGCGGGCTGCCGGCGCTGCACAGCGGGCGTGATCCCGAGAGTCCTCTCGGCCGCGCGTCCAAGAACGCGGAGTAGACCCAGGATGAAAGCGCGGGGCGCAGGCGGAGGGGCGTCATTCCCCAGCTGTGTGCTGGGTGGCCTGCATCCTGCGCGCGAGTGACCCCGGAAGCAGTCCGGGACGACCCCGCCCTCCAGTTGCTACTAGGTGATTGGCGGAGCTGGTGGTGAAGCCATTACTTCTGGATAACTGTGTAGACGTGTTTCGGGGACGCTGGAATCTCCAGGTATCCCCGCCAGTGACACGAAAAACTGGAAATGAAATCCTAGTGCTCTTCAAAGTCTCAAAATAAATGGAAAGTAGAGAGCAATTGCAGAGGAAAGGGCAACTAGAAATGTTAGGGTATTGTTGAGGACGGTTCCTTCTTTGTGCCTTCCCTTAGCTGGTTCCTCTAAAGTGTTGGAATTCTTGAATGAGGTTATGAAGTTAGCCCTACACTAGCTTCCCAACGCTTTAAATATTGTCTGTGCTTTAAGAACAACCTCATTGTGCTGAAATACTTTCTCTAGTAGTTTTCTAGGGAAGTTCAATGAGGAATTGAGTCCTTGCTTACCTAAAATGTAATGATTACAATGACTCCCTTTCAAGAAATTCGTTTGCAAACAGGAGTGGCTCCTGCTAATCTTATCTTTATAACATTTACTGTATCATTCAGTAGTCATTTAGCTATATCTTCGCACTGCATAATCTCATGTGCATGCCTTTTATCTTTCAGATTAGTAAGAGTCATATACTTTATGGAGCTTTTCAAAGCACCTGCTTGAGTGTTCTACACAGGGACACTGTTTTGATTCAGTGGCATTAAAATGGTGTTCTGCATTTTTTCCTGTTAATTTGGATACAGAAAGTGCTTGTGCTGATTATTATCACTTCTCATCTGACTGAACTAAAACTGAAGAAAAGGCCATAATCCAACTAGGTCCAACTAGGAAAGAGCAACAAGTTAGGATTTCGAGCCAGTAAGGGTGTAATAGGACATTCTTTATGACAATGGAAATATAACTCGATATGAACATATACTTCATAAAGTCAAGATACTGTAGTTAAGAACAATTAGACATGTTCCAACCATAGTTTATTTCATACTGTTATCTTCATCGGAACATAGTTATCAGTCACGCCGATTAATTCAATTACATAAGCTTAGTGCCAGCCTGCACCCTTTTGAGAAAGCATATCAGTACTTTACAAGCAAAGTTGTCTTTCCTTACCTTTGCCATTATAAAGCTATTTCTTTACAAAGATGTACGTGGTGATTATGTCAGGTATATTGTGCTGTAAAATTACAGTATTAATTTAATCACAACCGAAAGAAACAGTGTTATTATCCCCAAGCACCTATATACACACACATATAGGATATATACAAAACTATATTGGAATAACTCACAAATCACTGCCTCGTTGTATTATAAAAGTTCTGGAGGATTAGAATACTTACGGTACACACTCAGAACACATAGTTCTCTCTTATATACTCAATACCCAATCTCACTTAATGTAATCCTGATGAAAACCTGGCTGAATTATGCCAGTGTGTAGTAAAAGTACCGGGAGGCCACATTTCTGTAATTACATCCAGAGACACATTATTGTTTGATTTGAAAGCACCATTGTAAATAAAAGCAGAGGGCTCAAGAACAAGAGTCCACAGGAAAATCACCTGAGAGCTTGGTGAGAGGCGAACGTCTAAAGCCTTACCACAACTGGCTACTCAGAATTTCCAGGGTGATTGGGTTGCTCACCCCTGCTTAAAGTACTATGGCTGTCGGGATTTATTTGTGGAGAATCTGCTGAGGTGAACACATCCTGGAAAGAATTCCTTTCACGTTTAACCAATGTTACTAGACCTACTGTGCTTTTGTTTGTTTGAAATAGAGGCACCATTATCTTAAGTAATATAAGCAGGGCCAAAGCCTTTGTTCTTAGTAATACATCTAGCGTACTCCGTGTGTATATGCGTGTGTGTTACTAGGGACTGAACCCAGGGACTTCACACTGAACTGTGTCCTACTCTTTTATTTTTTTATTTTTTTTTTGTTTTTCTTCTGGTACCAGGAATTGAGCTCATGACCTTGCGCTTGCCAGGCAGGCGCTTTGCCGCTGAGCTAAATCCCCAGCCCCAATGTCCTACTGTTTTAAAAAAGATTTTAAAATAGGGTCTCAATACGTCCCTAAATTGGCCAGGGTGGGCTGGAATTTATGACCTTCTTGCCTCAGCTTCCCAGAGTGCTGGGATTACAGATATGTAATCTTGTAATCTTTAATGTACACTGAATTTCTAGGCATTGGCTATGTGCTTCAAAGCATTCCCCAAACATACATAACCAAAGAACTGTTTTTTGGTTTCTTTGTTTTTGTTTTTGGTAGGGATATATTAGTGGTCTTTCCCTTGTAATTAACAGAAGCCAACTGGAACTAGCTTAATCAACTAAGAACATTTATTGGAAGAGTGCGGGGCATTTGACCTATGCCCTGGAAGGCAGGCCGCAGTGGAGACCTTGTGATTATGTTTTTTATGTTTCATCTTGATGTTTGTAGTTCAATTTAGCGTCAACTCCTACCTTTGTTTTCATTTTTGTTGAAAATCTACATTATGATCCTTTTCAGTCATCCCTAAATCTTGTTAGTGCCACTTTCTTTTTCTTTTTGGGACAAGATCTCACTGTGTAGTACATGCTGGCCTTGGACTCAAGATCCTTCTGTCTCAGCCTCTCAAGTTCTGGGATTACAGCCAGGCGCCACCATACCTGGCTTGTTAGCATTTTAGGCTATGAAGAGATAAAGCAGAAAACAGGAATGTGCTGTCTCAGGATCATAGGCTACTCTCTTCTGTAGCCTAATGATGACACTGCACCTAGTGCAATTCTAGAATCCACTCATAGCCATCAGAAGCGATCAGATGCCCCAGTTGGGGGTTAGAGGGGAACAGTGGAAAATTAGACTTAAAGTAGATCTTAGGGCAGATTGACTCAAAGAAGCTGGACAAAGTGACACATGAGATTGGAGAGATGTTTGTTTGTTTGGACGTAGTGACTCCCAGTAGCTCTGTGTAATGAAATGCTCCCTGGTGTGGGAGAGGCAGCGTTTGCCTGGTGGGGAGAGAGTGGGGAAGCTGAGTTGGTTTTCTGGTGGGAAATGACCTGGAGGTGACAAGAAAGGCTTTCCTAGAGGTGAGAGAAGATTAAGTGATCCCAAGCTCCAGCATTTGCGTTGTCCAGGAGCCGTACCTTTCACAGGCATACCTGTTCTGTCTGTCATGAATAAATTATTGTGACTGATGTGAAAGGTACTACTGGGAACTAACAAAAATAACAGACAGGTTGAGTAGAGTCGGGAGACATTGTGGAGGCCTTAAAAACTGGGGCAGTTTATCGTGGTTCTGTAGCTGCAGTTCTTTTAAAGTCATGGAAGCTGTTCTTTCAGCTTTATGTTATGCTGAAGTACACTACATAGAACAAGTTCAAGCAGAGCTCTTGCTGTGAAAACGGGCGAGGTTCCCTGGGCCTCCTGTACCCGCCTCATGGCACAGCGCAGTTGACATCACAGCTCTCCTGAGGCTCCGAGGTGCTTCGTGGGGCGCAGTTTGTCCTTTGTAGGCTCTCCAATGGGAGTGTAGGCTGAGTAGCAAGATACTGAAAAGAGTTTGGCAGAATAAGGTTTTCATAAGGCGTCCCAGAGTGTAGAGGTTCGAGAGACTGGAGATTTTCTATTGTCCTAACCCCAGCTTTCCATTTTCTGTTGTAACAAATCGCCACAGCCTTGGTGGTCTAAACAATAGAAATGTACGTACCTTGCATCTTTAGGTCAGAAGTTTGTCACAGGCCTCGAAGGGCTAAAACAAAGGTGGTGGTGAGGCTGCATCCCTTCCAGAGGTGCTGGGGTGGAAGAAGCCACCTCTTCCCTTGTCCAGCTGTGGAGGCAGCCGTGCTCCCCACTGTGATCTTCTTCATCCACCTGTCAAGTCAGGCTGAGTTCTTCTCAGCTGCCAATGCCACCCTTCTGGTTCTCGGAGCACAGCTGTAAAATGTGCTTCTCTTTTTTTTTTTGTCTTTTTGAGACAGGGTCTCACTATGCAGTTCAGGCTGACCTTGAGCTCACTTTGTAGCCCAGGCTGGTCTCACACTTGCAATGATCCTCCTGCCTCAGCCTCCCGAGTGCTGGAATTACAGACGTGCACCACCACGCCTGGCTGTGCTCCTCTTTTAAGGACATATGTGCTTAGATGGGACCCATCAGGTGACCCAGGATTGTCCTGCAGCTCAAGGTCAATACCTTAATCACATCTGCAAAGTCCCTTTCCTTTGGGAGGTAGCATGCTCACGGATTCTGGGGATCAGGGCACAAATGTCTTTGAGGCCCCCAGGGGGCCTACAACAGATAGGTGCCATCAAAAAACACGGTGGATGTTTACAGTTTTCATTATAGTAAAAGACATGGACGTGAGTCCCCCTCAAAACCCTGCCCCCTCTTCAGACACACTTATCTCATCATTCTTGCCACTTTCTGAAGCAGCTCTGGAGTCCTCTAGTGTCTCTAGTCGTGCTGTCATGCTGGCCTTGATGTCTTGAATCGATTAAAAACCTTTACTTTTCATGGTCATGTTAATTTTGAAGAAGAGCCGGAAGGTGCCTGGTGTCAGACCCAGGAAATAATGTGGATGAGGATTCACTATCATGTTTTTATTTGAGAGAAATTGCCAAAAGTGTTAGCTCAAGGAGAGGTAATCATAAAATACAGTGATGTTTAAATGAAAAACTTTGTTTCCGTAAAAAACATTAATCCCCATCAAAATACTCCCCCTCACTTTGAACACACTTATTCTTGGCCCTGCGTCTTTACTGTAATAAGTCTTTTTCTTTCCTAAATTTATCATTCACTGTACCTTTTGACACCACCCACTCTTGTATTTTAACAATCAATAGCATTTTCCTTTTACCTGGGTTGGTAGCCCAGCAAGTAGGTTTGATATGTAGATTGGGGAAAGGAAGTAGAGGAAGATAATGAGATCGAGTCTTCGTCCTTGGATAATGTCCCCCATGTTAACCATCGGAAGACAAGGCATCTTGGTCTGCAGCTGCCTTTAGACAAGCAGCTGTGTGGCCAGGAAGGCAGGTA